TCGCAGTAAACCATAAAGGGGTATTTGCGAGGCGGCGGTCAGGGGTTAGGGCCGTGGTTTGATTTACTTGCCCGCTCCTCTGAGGGGCGGCGCTGCTGTCATCTGCCGTGCAGCTTCCGCCCTGACGGGGCCTGCCTGTGGTCTAACGGTGCCGACGGGCCGTGGGGTGGTGTCAGGTTTGAAGGTGGAGATACCTAAGAGATGAGAGTGGTCTGAAATGGCAGGGGTCTCTGTCAGCGACGGCTCAGGCTTGCAAAAGCCAGGGAGGGATGTAGGCAAGTGTGTCCCTCTTATTTACAGGTTCTTGGAGGCACTTTGCTTAGAAAAGATGTATTCAGGGGTCCATGGGGAATTCCTGTTTCTGGTAGGAATTGCAGATAGAGGTAGGGGAAGTACTTGCAAGCTGAACTGAAAAAACAGCTTTGCAGTTAGGACTCTGAATGTGTGTGGGGAAAAATGGTCATTAAAAAGTAAAATAGTTAAGTATTAGCGGTTATGAATGTCTTGACTAAGACGCTAAAGCAAAAAGAGCCCTGGTTATATGGAAGTTTCATTCTCTTTGCTGAAATACTTTCCTTGACTGTAAAGCAGTGTATTCTTTCCCAGCTTCAAAGGTATTAAGAATTGATTACTCGTTATAAGTCTTTGATTTTTACGGACTACTAAATACATTATGAGTATTGATAGAGATAGCATATGAATTATCTGAAGTAATATGGTTTATTCTAAATAGCAAACCCAGAAGATTTTATAATTTAGTATTTTCAAGTTTGTTTTGGTTTTTTAAGATGAGTCCAAATATAGTAAATTAGGTATTAGGGAAGAAACAAGTAGGGACGTAGGAAACTATCCAGGAAGGAAGCTCATTTAATGTTATCCTCTTAGGCAGCAATTCAGCAGACTATTGAAGCACTTAACGGTTTGCTGGATGAGGATCTTACTAAATACATTAGATGTATGTGGATAGTACATAATGCATTCTTTCTTCATTGGCTTATGTACACTTTTCCAAACTTTTGTAGTAGAAACTGCCATTGCAGGAATGAGGATAGAATTTCTGTTTAGCTATATAAGCTGTGGTCCTGCTCAGATATATTTTGCTGCTGTGCAACTTCATTTTGTTACAATCTCTAACCATGTACTACATGGAGAATATTCCCTGTTTCAGGCAGGAGTTTAATGAGCAAAAAGTACTGGAAGAATAAAGACTGTTCTGGAACATCTTTTCATGTGTGAAAGTTTGTGTCAAGCCAAAATGGTCCATCATGCCAGTAGTTAAGTGATAAATCATACCTGGCTAGTTTCGACTTCCAGCCATGCTTGAGTAACTGCAGGACTGGCCTTCAGGAGAGCCCTGAATGAAGCTTGAATGCATGCCCCTGGCAGATAGGATGGTTTAATTGCTCTTCACCAGTACTCTTCTACTGTCAGAAATGCTAGTTAATCTACTTTAAAACAACAAACCCACAGATGTTACCATGGTAGCCTCACCTTACTTGCTGCTGTTAGTTATCCACTTTACCAACTCAGTGGGTTGATTTGGCTTGTGCCATCAGATGTAAATTTAGAGAAACTCCTGTACCAGCCAAGATAGCTAGAAACAGTACTCTGTTCTGGCTCCACTCCTTCCCTGTTCTGAAACACCCTCTTTCCTTGCAGACAGGATTACAGTGGTGAAAAGTTTATCTGTGCTGGTTCTCTCAGGTAGGAGAATTTTACTTTAAGACACTAATGTTGTATGACAGAGAGAAGTGGCTGTAGATTGTGCAAAATGAAGTATTCAGTGGGGCAAAGGACTTGTCACTGAATGTGAAGTTTCTGGCATGCGTTTGACATTAATAACACAGCAATGTTTAGCCCAGCTGTATATGTAGCATATCATATTCTATAGATAACATAGTGTATTTAATTTTCTGGGAGTAATGAAGTAAATAAAAGCAGGCATAATCACTCTTTAGAGCTCTTTACCTCCTTCCAACCCCTGGTGTAGTAAAGGTAGGTGAGAATCTATAAACTGGAAAAAAACCCAAACATCCTGACTTACACATTTGGCTTGCAAATAGCATCACTGTATAATGAGATAACATGGATTCCAGAGTGACTGGATACTGTCGCTTCCCCATAATTATATGCCACTTAGCAGATATGGGAGACAAACTGATTACTCCTGTTAGCAGGCTATGTGTTGTGACACTGTCTAGTCTTGGGACACTGGCAGGTAAGGAAGAAATTTGCTTAATGCTGTGGATAGCCAGCATTCATTAAGAAATTATGACATGGCAGACTGCCAGCCTGATCAGCTGATGTCTACAGCTCTTGTAGACATCAATTAGAACAGGATCAAACTGCTGTTCTATCTACATCTTTATTGCTGCTGGAACACATTTGGATAAAGAAAAAATTCCCTGAAATCAGATAGAGCCTGCATGAATATTTCTGCCTCTGAATATTTCTGCTTGTCATTAATTGTTAATTGTTTTGATGCTATTCTTGCTAGACCCAAATGTTTCATGTACCGATGATGCATTTTACTAATGACATTTTTAGTTTATTAATGTGATCAGGGAAGTCAGCCCATGTGAGGGAATGAATTGTTACCTTACATGCAGAGTCTGGTTTGGGACTTCAGAATCTAATTGTCAGGTGAATTAATGATCAAAATAAGTTTGTGTCAGTTTCTGTCTGGGGAGTTGTTTTTTTCCTATTTCTCTGGGTTTTTTTTCCAACTGGGGTGACTCTTTGGACACATCTAATCTCCAGCACACCTGCATTTGAGAACTATACAAATGTTTAAGACAGGATACCTCTAAACTACACAGAAACCAGTAAAAACTAAAGATGTGCTCCTCTGACAATCGCTCCATCTAACAAATACTGTGCATTATGTTCAGGTTAGCTATGGTCCGTAGCGGAAAAAATGGTGGGCTCCACCTGAAGCAGATCGCATACTACAAGCGAACAGGGGAGTATCATCCCACAACATTACCAAGTGAAAGAAGTGGTATCAGAAGAGCAGCCAAAAAATTTGTCTTCAAAGGTAAAATTACTCTCTCAAACTACTCTGAAAATTGATTTTTAGGTGAAGATTTGCTGATACAAAAAAAAAAAAGTGGTATCTTACTCTGCAGCATACTATGATTTTAATACATATTCTCTATGAAACACACATTCTACTTAATCCTTGTTAATATATAACAGGATGTTTACAGGAACGGAAACTCAGTCTGCCTTAAGTCCTTTCCAGGAAGGATTTATATATCTATCTAAAAGCCAAACCTTGTTCTAGATATTGCAGAAATACGTAGCCATTGCAATCCATATTCAGAGGGGAATTGAAAGGGAAATCCAGATCTGCAATTGTAGACAAGGAGTGCTTGCTCTGGTCTGGAGGATCCTGTGTGTAGCTGGGCAGAAGTGCAAGGATGGCTTTGCCATCTGTCACCTTAGACCTTCGTGGCCCTTCCCAGCTTTATTGCATCCCTGTGAGGATGTATATGAGCTTTTGTAGTCTGCTGTGCTCTCTCAATCCCATCAAACCTGCCAAGTCTATGTAGAAGGCAGGGAGGAGTTAAAGCTGCTCATCGCAGTGTTAGGTTGATGGCAGGCAGACAGTAAGTCTCATAACAGGTCCTACCTCCCCTTCCCACCTCCTAGCGTTAGCTTGTGTTTCAGTCTGACTTCCTGTGGGAACATTCTCTGCATTCTGACTTGCCCTTGTAATACTTCATGTCCAGGTTAATAAACATAGGTGAACAATTGGCTCTTTGGAGGAAATAATTATAGTATTTTTTATTTGTAAACAAAAAGCTGTGTTTAGACAGAAGTGAATTGAAGGTGGTGTAATTAATTCTGTATCACATCATGCCCAGTAGTTTAGTAAACTAAACAAAAGACAAAGCACTTGCATATAATTTGCTGATACTTTTCTTCTTTCAGAAAATAAGTTGTTCTATGTTGGAAAAGACAGAAAACAAATGCGCCTGGTAATTGTTTCAGATGAAGAGAAGAAGAAGGTGCTTGAAAAATGCCATGAAAATTCTGCTGGCACTCATCATGGCATATCAAGGACACTGACTTTAGTGGAATCTAGTTACTACTGGACCTCTGTAACAAATGACGTCAAACAGTGGGTATGGTCTCACAGCTTTTTTTTAATGTCTCACTATTTTTTTAATGTAGCCTGTTACAAACATTTTGTAATCATATGACTTTGATACAGCAAGCACCCATACTGCTTCATGATGAGGAAACGTAAGCTTACAATCAAACTGTAAATGGTCTTCTTGGTAAAGCATAGTGTTTCCTTTTTCTTTTACTACTGACCACGTGGCTTGCATATTGCTGTATGTTAACCAGTGGTGGAGAGCCATACTGCCTTTAAGTATGCAGGGGACGTCTGGTCTTTGAGAGGGATTTCCCTTGCAAGGACTCTTTTATATCTTTGTTAGGATGCAGTGTACCATCCCAAGGATATGTGGCCAGAGTGGCTGCTGGCAGATAAGAATATTGAAAATGGTGCCTCTGCCTTACAATTGGGTGTGTTTAGGAAATAGTTAAACAAATCACTGCTTGGGAAAGTTCCTTCTACTCCCTCACCCAAAGATACATGGACATGATCCCCAGGCAGAATGTGATCCTTGAGGAAACTCAATGTAAATGTCCTTTACAGCCAAATTACTGTTCCTGTCAGCTTGCTGCATCACCTGAATACTTCGGGTTCATGCCCAACTGTAACATGAACTGAAAATGAGTCTTTTCTTTCAATTCAGACTTGGACAAAGAGGCCCTGCCCTGTAGATAAAGCTGATTCATGTTATGCATGGAAGTTTATGTATACTGCCAATGTTTTTCAGCCACAGCACGCGCAGTAGAACAAAAAGGGGAATGAGTGGGACTTTCTTTTGATTCCAGCTGCTTCTTACTTCCTTTAATATTTACAGATGGTAGTGGATATTGAAACTTATACTGTGGACTTGAAAGAGCACAGTGCTTTCAGGATGGGGAGAGTTCAGCTATGAATTCCTGCACATGTCCTTCTCCTGGCCTTCACTGTTGTTTGGTTTTGTTTTTATGCTGGGGCTTAGAAAAATCTAAGCGTAAAAAGGATAAGAAAGATGATAAAACGAATCTGTTCTGCATTGCATGGTCTGACCTAACTTACAGAGGAATAGTGGAGATTTATGATCCTGGTGCTTATCTTAAACTTTCACCATCGCTTTTTATTGATAGCATCTTCCCTGATTTTTGCACTAGGTGTATGCTTGCCAGCATTGCCAAGTGGCAAAGAATACAACCACCACAGCACTCAAAACACACCCTATCAAAGCAGAGGACCCGTGGACAGCAGTCACTATAGACCTAATGGGACCTTTTAATGTTACCAACAGAAACCACAAGGACATCATAATTATGACAGATTTGTTTACAAGATGGACTGTTATCTTGCCACTGCATGACACTTCAGCAGCTGAAATTGCTAAGGCAATCATAAATGTGTTTTTCTTATATGGGCCACCTCAAAAAATGCCTATTGATCAAGGGAAGGAGCTTGTTTATCAGGTAAGTATTTACATGGCTGGTTTCTTTTTTCCCTCAAGTACAAATACATTTTCCTGTGTATTAAATTTGAATTTTAGACCATTCTTGAAAAAGATTACAGATAGTTTTTTTTTTTTTCTTAGAAGAAAAAAAGTTAGCACATACAGAAGTTGACAAACCAATTACTCGCAATTATGACATTATGCAGCATTTCCTGGGGTTTCATTCTTTGGATAAAGAACAAAGCAAAATGATTTCCTGGCATAGTGCAGATTTTGTCACTCAGTTGAACTGGCACAAGCTTTCACACTCCAACAAGCTGTATTTAATTCATCCATGTTGTCTAGTATAGCAGATAGCTAAGGGTATTTTTGACATTGGCCTATAGTGATTATGAAGCACTTTTCACACTTTTATCCTCTCAGAGATGATGAAATCATGAGACTATGATATGGAGGAAATGACAGATTGAGTTAGTGGCAGAAATGTGGTTAGAAACCATCAATTACTGTCTCCTAAGCCATACTGATTCCTTTAGCTCTCAGTCTCAACCCTGGCATGTTTGTTGGGAGTATGTATGTAAGACTTTTGCTGAGTCATCATCGTATCAACAAAAGAGATGGAAAACAGTTTGTTTACTTGAACTGTGATACAGAAGAGGGGAAACCTTCAATAATTGTTGTTTTTCTTTTGAAGATAAATGAAGAACTGTTTGCACTATTTGGAATGAAACAAATTGTATTGTCTTATCCTCAGACAGATGATGTAAATGAAAGAACATGCAAGGCAATCAAAGCTTTCCTTAACAAATACTGCACCGACCATCCAAATGATTGGGATGAACATTTGTCTGCTATTGCCTATGCTTTCAATTTGACAAATTTGGTATGTGAAGTTTCTTCCTCTTTTGGCTGAAGTCCCTCAAAATATCTGCAAAGCTGTATGCTTAATTTGCTTGCTTTTTGCTCTCCATTTAAATAGGAGCCAGATCACAACACCCCATATTTCCAAATGTTTAATCGTAACCCACATGTTGAGCCAATGAATATATGTGTGGAAGGAGAATACAGTATGTTTGCCAAAATATTTGAAGCAACTAAAAATACCTGTCAAGCGCTAGAAGAGAAAACCTCAGATTGCCAGGTAAATGTTATATATTAAATTCTAGCATAGCAGTTTTCGTATGTATTTGAAAAGAGTAACCTTAAAAGACCTATTGCTAAGAGATTCATGTCTGACTTACAGGGCTGTGTATTTGTGGAAGCTGAAAACCTTTGCTTATGGACTATTGATTCATTAAGACAAAATCAGTTTTTTCAGAATTCTCCAGCCCTACGTATTACAGATTATACACATCCAAACTCACTTATTGTTATGCTTCTGCATTACTAACCAATGTTATTAAAATACATGATTACTTTTGGAAAAAGAAAATGCAATTCATATGTATCTTTCTGCAGGTGGAGAAAAACACTTCAGATGAACAAAAAATCAGAAACAAAATCGCTGTCAAAAGGAAGCCAAAGCAGTTAAATACCCTTCAACTGAAAGTTGGTCATGAAGTCCTCAGGCAAAGAAAAAACTGGTGGAAAGATGGTCGTTTCCAGTCGGAATGGGTTGGTCCTTGTATTATAGATTATATCACAGATAATGACTGTGCAATATTAAGAGATGCCACAGGATCCAGGTTGAAAAGACCCATCAAGATGTCTCACCTCAAGCCATATGTAAGAGGGTCCAGTGAAAAAGGTATATATGTGTGAGTGTGTGCTTTACCTATATATAAAAAATATTTTAACTGTTCTGTGATGTCTTGGTGTTAGGTTATCAGAGTGAACAAGTATCATTCTCTCACCAGTGTGAATTAAACTAACGCTCGGTAATAATGTAATAATTGCAGTTTTCAGTCAGGAGAACAGTGAGTGGCTTCAAACCTATGCAGAGCATGGAACAGAGCTAATGAATCATGTTTAAAGGCTGTTTAAAAATAACTTCCATTAAAGTTTATTTTAATCTGTGGTTTGGCCCTGTTCACGCTGGCTGGTGAAAAACATGCTAGAAGTATAATCATGCTGAACTGTGTTGAAAGAGCACTTTCTGACTGTGTTTCTGTTTTGGTGTAGACAGGATTCACATTTATTTTGCTTGTGAAATGGAAACTTTTTTTGCTTGGTCTGACTACTGCAGATAGTACATGTTTAGATTTCATTTTAACAACAGTGTCCTCTAAAGCGTTAAAATAGAAAGACTACATCATAGAATTGAGTTTTGGAGAGTTTACTTTACATTGTGCTACTGAAGAAGAAATTGTGTTTCTTTTACCAGAGCAAATAAAATTGCCATGCTTTGCAGCAGGACTACTAGAAATTCCCAAAGACTTGGATAATCAGCCACCGCTCTTGCTTTTAGACATTCAGTGTGTCTTTTTGCAATGCTGCTGTGTTAATCAAACTGTAGCAGCTGTTTCTTTTCTGTTGATGCTGTCTTTGAGTCACTGCGTGCCTTTTGAGGAAAATGAATACTCAGTGTTTAGAAGAAGTCTGTCACGGAACAAGCTGCTTTTTGGTTCAGGGTCCTTGAAAAGTAGAACAGTTCCCACCCTATTTGCATGTGTGGTTATGCATTTTCAAGAACCAAAGCTTAAACTATGTTGAGATGGTAACTTCTTCCATTGCCTCTTAAATCTGAGATTTGCAAAGCTGATACCAATTCTGGAATTTCATGTGAGAAGCTGACAATTATGCCAGTTGTCAGCTGCAGATTTCATAACCAAGATATCGATTTCATGTCATGTCTGCAGGACACTCTTTACTGTTGAATGGTCACTCTGTGGCTTCCAGTTCTTCATTAAGTTGCTGATCCATAAGGAGGAAGTCACATGCATGTCAAGCATGCAGATACTCTCCAGCTATTACAATGAATTTGGTACATTGTGTCACAGTATAAGAAGTTAAATGTAGTTGTCTTTGTAGGATCAGAGCCTAACATGTTTACCGCTAAATACTGCAGAAGCAGTATGTAATGGTACAGTTTCTTCCCTTTCCCAGGAAGTGACTAAAGATTAGTTGACTGACACAAGCAAAAAATTCAATAGATTATGAATACTTACAAATCTTAAAATTATAGACTGATGTTCATCCGTGTTTACATTGTGTAGAGAGGTAAACCAGGCTTTGCCAAAATAATTGCCAGCCTTTATCAAACAGCCTAACAGCAATCAAGAAAGAGTATTATTTCAGTTGGATAAGGGCAGTGAAACCGGGCAGGGAATGACATAATGAATGACATCTTTTCATCCATAAAGAAACATGTCTCCCTTTGTAACAAAGGGCTTGTCTTTATTAGCAGGAGTGGACTTTTTTGTCTGCAACTTATTTATTATTCCTACTGCTGTGGTATAAGGCTGGTGGCATAAGCTTGGATGGGAACAAAGCATTTTCAGTGTTCTCTGAAATAAATGTGGGAACGTATGTCTTAGGTGAGGATATTTGTGGCCTTGCCTACCAACTTCGTGTGTTACTAAGTGTTTTGCTTACACTTCAGATTTTTGGAGCAAGGTATCTTGTGTGTATCACACTTTAGACATGCGAGTTTGGGAGTTTTGAACAGGAAAGGCAAAGCCTGAAAATAGAGTGCTTATTTTTTATGTGAGGAAGAAAATCTTTTGCAGGTAAGAATGGCCAATCATAAGCAAGGTATTTTTTCATAACCTTTTGTAACACTCTTGATCAAAAGATAAATCCTGAGTCAGTGCTGATAGAGCCCTTGGTACAGGCATCTCAGATTTGCAGTCTGGGTCTACCTGATTTGCTTGCTGCCTGGCTGTAAAGAGGTTCCAGGACACCTTATGCATACATACATTTGAGTCTGAAGCAATGTTTTATTTTCCTTGTTTGAGCGTAGGTTGGTTTAAATATTAAACTCAAGAGAATGCCTCTGGGTCCGGTGTTCAAATGATTCAGGAGTGCAGATGGGCAGATTTAGGACATGTCTGTTGAGAAACATGGCCAGAAAAACGCAGTTTCACTTCACAGTAGCTCCCACAAAGGTCCTTCTTTGGACCTACATCTTGCAAAGGAATTGGTAGCCCTCTCTATAGAGATACTTATCTGTTGAACAGATCTTCTGATTTAACAGAACACTGAATTTCACAGTAGGGTCTTTGTGTGAGCAAGAAGATAGGCCCTAACCTCATCTTCCAAAACAGAAGTATTAACACCATGTTGACAGTTACACTTCTAACTCGTCCAGTCAGACTGTTCACTGTAACCACATTTCGGAGAGAAGAAAATCTCAATAGTACTATACCGTAGCAATCAACATTGCTCTCTTTAAATTCTATGAAACTTTTTCATTTCTTTTTTTTACTTCTTAAAAAAACCTGTTGTGTTGCAATAAGATTTCCCAGGAAGAGCTTAGAGTAAGCCACATTTCTCCATGTGTGCACACAAAATGGAAGAATCTGCATGGCCATTCATTTAAGGTATTAATTAGTAGGTGGCTATGACAGAAGTCAGGCTAGTCATTGACCTAGAAAAGAAAAACTCTTAATGTGGAACATTGCAAGCGTTATTTTGGGGATCTAATGAGATGCAGCCAAACATTTGATTCTCAGTGAAATGAGGAAATTCACATTATTAGACGGCTGTCACTCAAACATTCTTGTCCTCTTATGGAAGTTGTTTTGAAAAGTAAGTTAGCACCTCACTAACATTTTAAGTATGGCTTGAAGGATCTGATTTAATGGCTACTTTTCTTTTACAGACAACCATTGCTTTTTACATGGTGCAGTAGTTGTTGACCATGACTATATTGGCTTACCTGAAAGATCCTATAATCCAAGCCAACAAGATTCTGTTGCTGAAGGGGAAATAAATGCCTACACGAGAGATGTCATGTCTGCTGTACAAATGCCACCTGCAGCCTGCAAAGACCAAGAATCAACAGATGGTAAACATCAGTCTGAGCTGACAGAAGATCATTGCATTGAGTCAAACACTGCAAAGCTGGAGCAGTTGTCTTCGCCTTGTTGGACACTTCAGACCAAGATAGAGGATACTTAAGCATAGTCTCATGTCACATTTCATTGCCAAACAACTTGGAACTTCTGTGGCAGAGTGAATTAAAAAAATGTAGTAACTCCAAATTCCTTAGCCAATCCACTTTATGAATATAACAGTACTGCAGGTGTCCACTGGTTAATTTGTAGGGGCATTAAGAAGGAATTGCTTTGTTACCAAAAACATAGGCGCAACCTAGTAAAAGCACATGTTCTACTACTGTATGACTTTAAGAACATTGTAGGTGTCCAGTGGTTAATTTATGTGGGCGTTTAGAAGCACTCACTCCATGATCAAAAGTATGGGTACAACCTAGTAAAAGCATTATGTTCTCATAACGCATTTGAATTTCAGATTTTGCTGGTAGAATGGCAGCATGGCCGTACCTTACTGTTATCCTCTCACGACACAATGCATCATGTCACTATAATGACCTTTTCATTAATCTTTGGATGACTTATTCCTAATGTGCAGAGATACTGTGGGATGAATATAATCTAAGCAACTTGATGTAAATTTTGCCCCCACTTTAGAGACGTTAATGTCCTCCTTTTCCTGTTACAAAACAGTTTCCTGTTCTTTCTGAGAAGCTGTACACTCTGACTTTTACAGCTTTTTATTTCTAGTCTAACCCACAGCTCTAAGATCTCACAAAACAGTAAAGCTGCTGTAATCAAGTAGATGTAATGCTCTGCGCATGAAACAATGAGGCCTTCAGCTAAAACTGTACTAGGGTGAGCAATTTTAATTTCTCAGGCGTGTCAACATCTTAAGAGCATTCAGCATTCGTTTGTGCTTTCTTCACAAACATCTGTTTTCCGTTACAGTTATACCTTCCCAGAGCCAGTACAGGTTTGGAGATTTCCACTGACAGTGCTGTAGGAAAGGTGAAGCACTGGTATTACTTGTTCTCTGGATCCCTCAAGTAAGTTGTTACTGGTCTGGACTTCCTACTGAGAAGACTGTAGTTCAAAGTCAGCTGGAAATTCAGAACAGGAATTATTTAGTGGTGAAAACTAATGAGTATAGAGGATTGTCAGGAAGAGGAAGACAACTAGCAGAAAACTGAATTTAGAAACTCAGCAACTTCTGTCTGATACTGTGGATGATTTGCTTATCTTGCTCTCTGAACATGTGCATTCCCTCTCATCTCTGCTGCTGAATATCATGTGACTTGTAACAGAGATGGAAAAAAGTACTATTTCTTAAGAGTTCTCAGTTAGTCTTAAGTTACAAGATGACTAGGTACTTAACTCATACAGAAATTCATACCTAATGTACAGTATGTCTTCAATATTGCAGGCTGCAGCTGTATAAAAGACTGTGGCACTATGACAGGATCTTATCTCAAATGCAAATGAAAATTACTTAATACTCAAAGTATTTTGTGTTTTCTGAAAATCCAGTCCTACATAAATACTTTTTCTCCACTGAGACTCAGGGAGGCAGTTGGGGGTGCTGGCTTGACAGGCTCCTCCTCTATGCCGACTCTGTGGTACATGTGGAGATGAACAAGCTTTGTGTTGGTATTGACAAACATACATAAGCTCAGAAGCCCATCTTTCCATTAGCTGCTGTTGCCCCCAAGCTGTGCTGTCCCTTGAGCACAGCTGATCTTTGTAGTCATCAGCCTAGTGCAGTCAAGGAAGTAAAGAAAGTGGGCTTGGTGAAGTACGTTTATCTTGTATAAAAAAAAAAAAAAAAAGCTTGGAAATCCTGTCAAACTAATTACAGCAGGAAAACAACACATGTAAATATGACATAACCAGTAATTGCGAACAGTAGCTTTACTTTGATTTAATTTTTTCCCCCAGTAATGAGCACTGTGGTTTTACAGTATTTTTTCTTTGGAAGAGTAGTATAAAGAAAACGATCTGGGTGCTGTGTGACATGGTCACTGGAGGTTCATGTCATAATAATGATGTGGCAGCCTAAATTGTTCCTATGCTAGTCTTTAACAGAGGCCCATGCTCTTTACGCCAACCCCTCCTCCTTCCTATGTACCTTTGTTCCTTACACTATGATTGTGGACTACAGTGACATCATCTGCTAGGATGGATTTGTTATATTGTTAGATACGTTGTGTGTGCACGCGTGCATGCAATGTATGTATATAGTGAGTGCAAAAAAAAATAATTAGTGTCAGGGATAAAATTGGAGAATAAGGGAGCTCTTTGCAAGATTCCTTTCTCCTTTGTTAGGTGCAAAAGAAAACCAAAACCAATCCTTTTTTTTTTTTTTTTTTGACTTAAACTGATCAGTTCCTTATTTACACACAGTACAGCACAGCACAGCTGTTTTCTGGGGAAGGTCTGGGGCAGCGCAAATGCTGTGTGCTTGTTACAGCTACATTGGAAACAGAAAATGCTACAGTGACCGGGGAATGGGAAAACCATGGAACATTTAACATACTGTGTAATGCTGATCTTTCAGGCATCCTAGTAATTTTGATCTACTGTGCCTCTTCAGTGCACCTAAATGTGGCCTTCTCTGCATGTGGGAGGCTCATTGAAATAAAATACAGGGGCTTCAAACTAATGATGTGGAAAACAATCGATGGAAACTGTGGAAAAGACCCACCAGGAAACCTGAGACATTGCAAGCACCACACTGTGCTTGGGGAAGCTCAGAGAAACCCCTCACACCCCTGCCATAGTGAAGTGTTGTCAAGTGTATGCTTGTCGCCGCAGTGAGTTGTGACCTGCCTAGTTCTGGTTTGTGTTTTAACCAACTTGGATAAATACACAGATGTCCATCTGTACTCTTTTTCACTGGCACACAGGTTTGATTTGTGATAGGGCAATAGCAAAAGACTATTTCATAACAGAATTCGTAGAAATTCTGTTTTCTAGTAGAGTTTGTGCTCCTTTGTGGTAAGTTGTTTAGAGGGGAGGAATAGAAGGGAGTACAGCATGAAAGAAAAAGTGCAAATTTCCTCGTACCCCCCTAGCACAGAACTATGAACGTTTATCGTTTGGGTTTGCTAGTTGTGCTAACTACGAGCTCATAGTTTCATTAAAAACGCCATAAAAAATATGTGCTAGTGAAAAGACTGTACAAATACTCAGTGTTTTACTGTGGAATGAAAACGTTTCGTCTCTTGTTTGAATACTTCTGAACTTTTGTATAGCATTTGCCCATTGTGCATTAAGGTATTCTTGCTTTCCGGCTACAGACATTTTAAAAGATTTTCCTTCTTGTCCCTAGAATGGAATGTTCCCTGATGAAGGACACCAATGAGTCATGATCAGCTTTTCACAGCAAGCAGTTAACAAATCTTATGGAAATACCACTTTTGAGAACCAGATAAGTTTCCTTTACTCATTTGCTTGGGTGCAACTTCCTTATCAATGACATTCTCCAGGAGACATCATTACTCTAATGACCTAGCATCCAAATTTTTGCACAGTAACCGTCTTGGTATTTTCAAAATAAGTAATGGAATATTTTGGGGGAGTGGAGTGGACGCTTTCAGTTAACATACTGGACTAGCTAGAAATAAAACACATGAGCTCTAGAGTCTTACCAAGTGGTGAACACTCAGCAAAGCACAGCAGCTTTCATCATCTGTTGGCTACTGACCTGTGAATTTAACAGAAAGAAATGTCATGTTAGAAGTCACCATGACTGGGCACTGTTTTAAATTAGAAGGCTAAAATTGACACAAATAAACAGGATTTGCAGAATCTTCAGGAAATGAGTATTACACTCTTCTGCACATGTTAGAACACATGCTGACCTGCCATTTAAATCTTAGTAATCAAACTATGTAGACATTTTGAATGAAAAGCAGTACAGAAAAAGCTTTAATTTGAAAAGTAAGGCTCTTCTGGACAGAAGTAACCAGACAGTAACTTAATTTTAAAACATTTGATTCAGGAGCTATTAATCCTGAGAGATGCATTCCCCAGTCAGTTCTCCTTTCCTCCTCTCTCCTTGTACACAAAGACCAGATTTGCAAATAAACATGCATTCAGGTTACTTGAGCTGCCTACTTGTTTGTCCCATTGTAGTGGGCATTACTGCAGGCTCTGAGGTTAGGTTCACATGTTTATCTTCCCACAGACAAGAATCTCTCAGCTTTCAGCAGCAGGGCTGGAGTATTCAGAGCTGCAGCAGGTTGCACGCAGCAGTGCCTTGAATATGTAAAGTGATATCTAAGTAAGTGGATTAAAAGGGAATAAATCAGATTTCAGAACTTCAGTACTTAAAATTAGTTGATGCTTTTTGGCAATTTATGCCTTTAATCTATCTATGCCTCACTTCTTCCCCCTTCTGTACAAAATGAACAGCACCATGTCAGTTCCCAGACACACTGAAAAAAATGTTCATTATTCTTCACAAAGCTGGCAGGCAGAGTAACGAAAGCCCCAATAGAAAAGTTCACAAGAAAACAACTTCTATATTTTGTGCAGAATTTCAGTGATAAGCAGTAAATAATACATGGGGTTCCCCATTAGATTGATTTTGAATGTTTATCTAGTCAGAAACATCATGCATCACTCCCACAAAGATCTTGGAAAAGGAGAGCAGACTAAATAGGAACAGGACAGGATTTAGCGCATGGTTATGGTATCATACTGGCAAACTTAATTTTTTTAGATGCTTAACTTCCGTATGTTCAGCTCCGCAGATGTTAGGACTTTATTTTGGAGTGCAGACTTCAGCCCTGGCTTTCTCTGCCTCCCCGCTGACATGGTCGCAGGGTGGCGGCTGGTCCCTGCAGGAGCGCGCCCAGGACACAGCGGCATGGCGAGTACATGATGTGTGGAGAAACAGCTGCGCAACGGTTTGGTCTGCTGAGTCTGTCTGTCTTTCTCAGACTATGTTCTCAGCAAAATTATCATCTGCTTGCAGCAAAAACTGTAAGCAGATGATAATTATGGAAGCATAAATGTATTTCTGAGCGCAATATGACCTGCATTGTGTGATGACTGCATGACTGACCTTTCACCTAAGTTAGTTACAGAGCAAAAATAATCTGTGCATTAGGTAGTATATACTGTAATTGCCAACTGTGGAAACCATTCAGTACAGCTTTG